ATATATATTAATTACCGTTAATGATTCAAACTGTCTTAGATATTGTTACTATAAAATATTCAATGGATATGTTTCAAATTGAATTTTCTAATTCTTATTATTATTATACTCTAGCTCTTATGTACAGCACATTTATGAAACTTTGGGTAACTTATATGAGAAACAGAAACAAGAACAAAAAAACAAAAAACAAATATTAATAATGATGTACAATGTGCACTTAAGTTATGTTTGCTGAGCTACAAATTTAACCAACGGCTCCAGAATATATCTAAATTATACTAACTATAAATAAACACACATGCATACAAGAATGTACAAGTATTATACACAAGGCGCATACCATTAAACATTAACAAATAAACATAAACACATGCAACATGCATTACATAAACAAATCCAAGAACTCATGTAATATGTATGTTTAAATAAAAGTTGGAAAAATCGATTGGGTGCACATTGTGGATGGGGCTTAATACATTCATTTATTAATTATTTATTAAGTATATAAATTGCTTAAACAATTTCCAACATCGGCTAAGTTTCATCTGCATCTGTTTTGGGCTTTTTGGCCGCTGGCGCGGCCTCTGCTGCCGGCAGCTTCTCGGAGAATATGGCCTGGGGCTGGGTTTGCTTGTAGGCGGGCGCAATCCAATATGGATTCTCGGCCGCATCCTTGGCATACTTGAGGATGGCCTCGCGAGGATCCTGGTCGTCGTCGACGCGTTTGCTCAGGCCCAGATTGCGTATGACATAGGAGGAGAGTGTGCCGCCCGAGCTGGCAACGCGGCCGCCTTGGCCGCTGGTAATGGGCAAGTCGGGTCGCTTCGACTTGACCGGATCCATGCGCGCCTTTTCCATCTTTTTGCGCGAGGAGCGTGTCTTCTCCTGCCGGAACAGCGGCAGAGCATGCGGTGTTATAATCTGCGACACGCCCACCATTTCCATTTGTTGTCTCTTGCGATGCGTCTTCACCACGCACAGCTTGGCGCCGCGTATGCTGCGCTGCTCGTCGTAGAGGCACTTGATGATGCCATTGCCGCAGCTGACGAAGAGTTGATTCAGCTTGGGATGCCACAGCGTTTTGATGACATGCGAACTGGCCACGGGTATGCGTTGCACCTCCTCAAAGCTCTGGGTGCTATAGAAGTAAAGATTTGCCTCCTTTTGCTCTTTGGGCAGCGACTCGCCGGTGACCAGCATGCGATCATCCGGACTGAAGCAGCAGTCGGTCGTGTCGTAGCGTGAGAAAAGATTCGACCAAGTGTGCATCGGCTGCTTGAAGTTCCTCAGGTCCCAGAGTTTCATGGTCTCGTCATTGCTGCGCGTCGCCAGCTGCTGGCCCATGTAAGAGAACACAATGGACGTAATCTCGGAGCCCTTCTGATGTGCTGTCCGGACGCAGTGCGTCGTATTTACGAACATCTTTCGTGTGTCCCAGGTCTGTATGGAACCATCCACGCAGCCGGCAGCGATGAGAGTTGCGTCCCGATTGAAATTACAGGCGGACGCATTTGTTCTTAGACCGCCCTGAGCTCGCGTCTTGATCACCTGCATCTGCTCCTTGGCTCGTAGTCCCTGCCAGATGCGCAGTGTGCCGTCGAGAGCTGCGGTCAGGAATTGCTCCCTGTTGAATGGATGCCAGCAGCCAGAGGTTAGCTGAGCCACATGGCCCTTTGTGCGGGTCATGTCGCTTATATATTGATCTCCCTTGCAGCATTCCAGCTTCTCGAAGCCGTCTCGATCGAGGATTTTGGCCTGTGCATTGCCAGATATAACGAGGATCATGTCACCAGTGACGGAGTATTGAAGGCCTCGTATGGGATGATTCTCACAGGGCTGCAGTTGACGGAAGCTACGCATGGAGGAATCCATGCCAACAAAGTCCCAGAAACACATGTCATAGTCAATGGAGCCCGACACAAGTCGAGCGCCGGAAGGATCTCCAGCAAGTGCCAAGACGGCTCGTGATCCGTGCTGCATTTGGACTTCGTGTGTGTAGGGTATGCGACGTATTAGGCTGTCCTCGTCGTCATCATCGGAATCACCATCGTCATCGTCGTTATCATCMTCATCGTCTGCCTGGTGCTTCTTATCATTAGCATCTTTTTTCGAACTGGCCTCTGGCTTGTCCTGTTCTGGTTGGCTCTCTGTGTCTGCTGTTGGTGGCAGTGGACCAATAACATCCTCGTTATCCTCATTCGGTTCTTGTTCCTGCACGCGAGGCGCAGCAGTGCGCGCCTTTGCGATCTGCTCATTGATGTCGAAGACTTTCGCTGCCTTCCGGCCAAAACCACTGATGCCCATCATTTCTTTCAGATGTTGGCTCTCCAGATCCTCGGCCACATCTTCAATTTGACGTATCATCTGTTGCTTATCCATCTTCTTGAAGCCGCCAGCATCCTGGGATTCCTGAATGGTTTCAGCAGGCGTCTTATTTACGTTCAGCTGTATTTTGCCAAACGAGATCTTGCCGCGCTGCATAGCGAGCTGATTTAATTTATTTCTGTGGCTTTAAAGAAAAAAAAACGTTTATTGTTATTCTTCTGCTTTGGTTTTTGTTTTGGCTGCTTCGCACTCAGTTATCGATGCATCGATAAAGTGATTTTTCGATTATTTAAAAAAATACTGAATTTCTTTTGTAGTAAACTAAAAAATACTGATAGTATTATTTGAAATTTACAATTGTGATATCTAAAATGTAATTAATATTTATAATGAAATCTAATGTGCATACGTGTTTAATGTGTTTAATTATGCTATGATGTAATCCTCACTGTTCTTGCTAGATTCCCAAATGTTTTGTTTACTCTCAGCTGTTGCTTGTACTTTAAAATACTCGTTACTTGCTATGAATGAAGACAGAAATACCAACGCTAGCATCTAACCTAAAATTGGGCGCGCAGTCGGCTTTTGGCATTTCGCTCGTGCGCAATTTATTGCGTATTCTGTGAAGTTTCGCGATTTGTCTTGATTTATAGTTTGTTTAATATACTAAATACTAATTTAGTGCAGGACACATTGGAAAATGGTGGAAACTTTGGAGTACAACGACATAAATGCCGAAGTGCGCGGCGTTTTGGTAAGTTTGTTTTGCGAATTGTCGGCAACGTTTGTCTGGCATTGGTTTTTCTCACACTTCTCTTATGTTGTTATTTATTTATATAGTCTTCTGGACGCCTGAAACTCACCGAACAAAACATTATCTTCAAGAACAACAAAACGGGCAAGGTGGAGCAGATTGCCGCGGATGATATAGATTTGATCAATTCGCAAAAATTCGTCGGCACCTGGGGCCTGCGTATCTTTACAAAGAGCGGTGCGTTGCATCGCTTTACTGGTTTTCGTGATAGCGAGCATGAGAAACTGGGCAAGTACATCAAGGAAGCCTATTCGCAGGAAATGGTGGAGAAGGAGATGTGTGTCAAGGGCTGGAACTGGGGCACAGCTCGCTTCATGGGTTCCGTGCTGAGCTTCGATAAGGATACAAAAACAATTTTTGAAGTGCCCTTGTCGTATGTGTCACAATGCGTCACCGGCAAGAATGAGGTCACGCTGGAATTTCATCAGAACGACGATGCACCAGTTGGTCTGCTCGAAATGCGTTTCCACATACCGGCTGTGGAGTCAGCGGACGAGGATCCAGTCGAAAAGTTCCATCAAAATGTCATGAACAAGGCGTCGGTAATATCGGCCTCGGGCGAGTCCATTGCCATATTCCGCGAAATACACATTCTGACGCCGCGTGGTCGGTACGACATCAAAATCTTCTCGACCTTCTTCCAGCTGCACGGCAAGACATTCGACTACAAAATACCCATGGACTCGGTACTGCGACTGTTCATGCTGCCGCACAAGGATAGTCGTCAAATGTTCTTTGTCCTCTCGCTGGATCCGCCTATCAAACAGGGCCAGACACGCTATCATTACCTTGTGCTGCTATTCGCGCCCGACGAGGAGACCACAATTGAGTTGCCCTTCAGCGAGGCGGAGCTACGCGACAAGTATGAGGGCAAGCTGGAGAAGGAACTGTCCGGGCCGGTCTATGAGGTCATGGGCAAGGTGATGAAGGTCCTGATCGGGCGCAAGATAACAGGCCCAGGCAATTTCATTGGACATTCCGGCACCGCTGCCATCGGCTGTTCGTTCAAGGCAGCTGCCGGCTATCTGTATCCGCTGGAGCGCGGCTTCATCTATATACACAAGCCACCGCTGCATATACGTTTCGAGGAGATCAGCTCAGTGAATTTTGCGCGTAGCGGCGGTTCGACGCGCTCCTTTGACTTTGAGGTCACCCTCAAGAATGGCACTGTGCACATCTTCTCCTCCATTGAGAAGGAGGAGTATGCCAAGCTGTTTGACTTCATCACACAGAAGAAGCTGCATGTGAGCAACATGGGCAAGGACAAGAGCGGCTACAAGGATGTTGACTTTGGCGACTCGGACAATGAAAACGAACCGGATGCATATCTGGCACGACTCAAGGCCGAGGCACGCGAGAAGGAGGAGGAAGACGATGATGGCGACGATTCCGATGAGGAGTCCACGGACGAGGACTTCAAGCCCAACGAAAATGAATCGGATGTGGCCGAGGAGTATGACAGCAATGTGCAGAGCGACTCGGACGACGACAGCGATGCCAGCGGCGGTGGCGGAGGTGGCGGCGGCGACAGCGATGGAGCGTCTAAAAAGAAGCACAAAGAAAAGAAACGCGAAAAGAAAGAGAAAAAGGAGAAGAAGCACAAAGAAAAGGAGCGAACAGTAAGTCGATTCAAATGCAATAGTATAAAAAAAGAATTATTTGAACTAATTTTCCTAATCTACCCCAATAGAAGAAGACCACCAAGAAGAAGGACAGCAACAAACCGAAGCGTCCTACGACAGCGTTTATGCTGTGGCTAAGCGAGACGCGTGAGCAGATCAAGCGCGACAATCCGGGCATAAAGGTCACCGAAATCGCCAAGAAGGGCGGTGAGATGTGGAAGGAGCTGAAGGACAAGTCCAAGTGGGAAGAGATGGCCAGCAAGGACAAGCAACGCTATCAGGATGCGATGCGTAACTACAAACCAGGTGCCGGTGGCGATGCTGCTAGCGACGACGACGAAACTTCCAGCAGCAAAGCACCAAAGAAACGCAGCTCTGACGTCTCCCCAACGAAAAAGTCGAATACCTCTGGCAGTGGTTTCAAGAGCAAGGAGTACATATCGGATGATGATTCCACCAGCTCAGATGATGGCAAAAACGCTAGCAGTGAGCCGGCCAAAAAGAAGAGCAAATCGAGCGAGGCCACATCGAAGAAGAAGGCCAAAGAGAGCGAAAGCGAAGCGGAGGCCACCGATGAGGAGACCAACGAATCYAATGATGATGATGAGGATGAGGCCAGTGATTAGTTACGAACATTTCCACCCACACACAGTTGCACACACGCACGCATACCAACATGTGTTTAGCTCTAAGTTAACTGTTATAAACAGGCTAGCAAAACAGCTCGCTTGGTCTAGAATTTGTCTTTTCATTAAACATTTACCGCTATTTAATGTATCCAAAAATGTTCCATTTGATAGCCCCAATTTTTACCAGCGAATGGCCAATTACGTTGGTCATTTACCTAAAACCAAAAAAATATCTATATAATTGTTCCGATTGGGCTCGTTGTTGTTTTGCATTCAAGCAGAGCGGACGGATATATTCGATATGTCAGCGTATTTTATAAAATAGTATAGAAAATATTTCGCAAATGGCGCTGGTTTGGATCACGTTACAGCTGATATTGCTCTGGACCGTAGTGGAGGCAAGTGCGAGTGAGAGAGGGAAAGAGAAAAAGATCGAGAGTGTCTCTGATCATTTGCTAATCCTAAGTATTATTCATTGATTGGCATCCTTCTCAGATCAATGGATTGGCCAAGTTCACAAATGTGCAGTGCTCTAGCTTGGATACCAACATCAGCGTATTCACATCTTGTCGCCTATATGCGGTTAAGCGAGACGTCGTCGAGATGAGTTTGCGGATAAAGATCTTGCAGTTTCCCAAAAGGCCAGTTGCGGTGAGTCTAGATTGAATATTCAGCTCATAGTATCTATGGGAAATTGCCCTAAGTTGAAGCTGTAAGATCAACTATACACATATATAATATAAGTTTCGAGACAACGTACAAAGTTCAAAATCAAGGCTTATTGTAGCGTAAACGTTTAATAACAAACTCTTCCTTTTTTCGTTTGTTCCACAATAATATCAATTTAAGATTATAAGATTATATATAAATGCTTGAACAGCATGAGATTTCGATCTAGACAATATTTATTTGCTCGCCTGAAATATAGAGCATACCACTATTATTATTATAATAATAT